AAACAATATTACGTTTTTGAACCATACTAACTATAATAAACTGTATTATACTGTATATTTTGCAGTATCTACAACTTTGTTAATGAATGCAACAGCACACTGTAGTATTAACTAGCATGAACTTTAATGAATTGAAGTATACTTTATATGTAAAACCTAATACATTTTAAAGCAGTTTCATTTCTTTCTAATTTATACATCTACATGCATTACATCTGATTTAGGTCCACAACTTGCATCCTTCAACATGATATGTGTGTTCAAAGGAAGAGCAACTAGGTGAGGGAGACAGTGTCCATCGCTCAGCAGAGGGTCCACTTTGAGCATCTCATCTGCAGGGTTAAGCAACATAAGCTGAACAGTCATCATCTCTCTCTATTACAGCGAGCATCAACCAGCTTTACACAATGGCTTGCTTTCTGACCATTAGTATAGGCTTGAGCAAAGGATTAAAGAGGAGATAACATTTGATGGGTAATGATGAAGTTGGATTTACCACCTCCATCTCATTACGAACAAGGAAAAACCCTGAAATATTTCAATACAAGTAACTAGACATTTGCACTGCACTTATTTGGACTGTAAATTTTATTTGACAAATTACATTTCACTTACAGAACAGGTGTCAAACTCAGTTCCTGGAGGGCTGCAGCTTTGCAAAGTTTAGTTCTAACCCTAATTAAACACACCTGATCAAACTAATTGAGTCCTTCAGGTTTGTTTGAAACTTTCACTTAAGTGTTTTGAAGCAGGGTTGCAACTAAAAACGTGCAGGGTTACGGCCCTTCAGGAACTGAGTTTGACACCCCTGCCTTACAGTAAAGTGTAAAAATACTACATTAAACAATTATCAAAATAAAAGTTGTGTGTGGGTGAGTGTGTGTTTTGTTCAAATCTGTAGTCATCTTGGCAGGTAAAAAGAGAAAATAAATGGTCGGCTTCCTCTTGAATGATCTGAATTATTTTGAAGTGTTTGTAGATGAGCTGGATCATCATGTCATCTTTAGCATAAATAACATCCTTTTCAAGCTATGCAGCTTCTCTGAGTTCCTCATCGACTTGAAACATCCTGATCTCTCCTGTCACTCCATCCTTACAGGAAACTGAGAAATAAAGGTAGTAACTTTCATAATTAAAAAAGTGACATAAAGGACACACTGTACACAAACATGTAAACAGATAGATGGATAGATAGATATGATGCAGGTTATAATAACAAAAACCGGTATGATCTGTAAGAAACTGAAACGCCTAGTGTTATTTTTAATTGCTATTAATGTGTGCGTGTGTGTAAATATACTTCAATTCATTAAAGTTCATGCTAGTTAATACTACAGTGTGCTGTTGCATTCATTAACAAAGTTGTAGATACTGCAAAATATACAGTATAATACAGTTTATTATAGTTAGTATGGTTCAAAAACGTAATATTGTTTACTATAAATGCTATTACAACTTCTTATTTCATGTGGGTTGAATCGTATCTTTAGAACCATATAACATGATTGAAAGCAGCTCCTAGATAACTCATAACTGTTTTCTTATATAAGAAACAAACAAGAGAAGCACCCAGCACAGTCCTTAGCTTAGCTAACAGTATTGAACATATAGATAATTATTAAAAAATCTTAACTTACCCTCTGATTGCTCGAGGCCTCCAACAACGTGAGCTGCCCTGTGTGCTGACAAACAGAAACACCCCATCTCATTGGCTGGCTGTAGCCAATAAACTGGCTTTGCTGCTCTTTTACTGGTATGTACATTACAGTAGAATTTATGATTTTTAACAAGAATCTCTTCAGAAAAGAGTTTAAATAAACCCTAACTAATGAAATAATCGTGGGAAATTATTATTTTGCACCTCAGTCATGTTGGCTGCTGGCATTGTTCATTGGTCAGGCTTCAGCCAATCAAACAGCTTTACACCTGCCCCGCCCCTCCCCCGCCCCGCGCTGCTCACGCCTCTGCATCTGCGAGTGCACAGATGAGTTCTGCTACAGAGATCGCGGGAGATGTGTTGCAAAAGTCAGAGCGCGGGAGATTTGTAGTTGTACTGACCAATCTGAGAGGTTGTGAGTGCCGACCTGTGGTTGTAGAGCAAAGATGCAATCAAATTTGCCTTGCACACGTGTGTCTGTCACTTTGTATTTGTGAATGACATTTTACAAATACACAACTATTAATCTGCAACTTCCAATTTAAAACACAAGTGTGTGGGTTGTTGTGTGTGTGTGCAAATCGAGGATTTCAGCTGTTCACATCAGAGCTGTAAGTGTACATTTCAACCTACACATACAAATATTATTATCACAAGTGCTCACATTTACATTTGCAAGCTCTCGAGTTTCGCAACGGATTTACCTTCATAATAATGTGTCCACTTGGGCTAAAAGCCGGTGTTGGGTTGCATCGCAGAAGCATCTGCCTAATAGATATTGCAGAGACCGAACACACAAATGGGTTTCTCTTAGGATAGTGTGTGCTGTATCACTATACACCGCTCACAGGTACAGTCTGTCTGTATAAATGCTTTATCTTAAGTTTATCCGCCCCGATGAAAACAATCACCCGAGAGTAATGTGCTTAGCTTTAGCTTATTTGGCCATTTAACACCCGCCTCTACCGACATAAATAAGCCTCTCGCTGTAGCCTAAACATTGCACATATTGTTCGCGTTTCTTGAAAGATAAACTAGGCGAAATCAGAGAAGGCCTGTTATAGCGAATGTGAGAAATGTGGATCGACTGTTAGCATCTAAACCTGCTAAACTCACTCATTCAGTCAGACGATTTCCAGATCTGCTTTAATGATTGTTGTCAAATCATATGATTAATGACTACACAACTGCAGCACTAGCTGGAACAGTGAGGGATTTCATGATTTTCATGGCCAAACAAGGCACAGAGAGGAAAGTATTTACTTTAATAATGTAATATAATGTTAGATATTGCCATTCACTCGTTGTCTATGTGTGTGTTTACTAGCTGGCATAACTAAAATGCATAATCAAAACAATCTCAGAGTCAGTTCAGTTGTTCAGTGCTGATTTTCATATATTTCCTTAAAAAATACAGGTGCTAGGCAAAGATACAAAAATACACTGTTACAAATGGGTGTAAAAAATACAGCATATTTTACAGCAGCTAACTGCTTTTCTAACAATAGCAGTTTTCTGTAAAATTTGTGATTTCTGCTGTCACATGATAGTTTTACCAAAGGCGACAGAGTATTTACAGCAGACCAGTAGCCAACCTGGTGAAGGGGATTGTTATTTTTTCTCAAAAGGTGAACCTTTTTGCAGTTATTTGCCTCATTTTTCTATTTAGTTATGAGATTTAAATTTTTAGTGACATTTTAAGGGCTATTTTTAGCTGGATTAGTTTGTTGGATGATCATCGTAACCATACGTTTTGATGTACCAAATATATTTTCTAAAGATGTAGAATAACAAAAATTTGACAATTAACATCATATATCATTAGAAAAAATAGGAATCTGTTAAAGTTTTAAATTAAAAAACTGTAGCCTATTGTCATTTATTAGGCAAATAACAAACTGGCCAGCACATTTAACTTTTCCTCAGTTTATGAATAAAAATAATTAAAACATATAATAATAATAATAATAATAATAATGTAGAGCTTCACAATTTTTCTAGACTCTCTTGTAATTATTATTATTTTTTTTAGAAAATACACGCATAACCACAATAGCCAAAATAGTATTCAATTACATTTTAATATAGTGTGCTTTTGGTGCTTCACCCCTTTTTATTTGTAATTTTTTTGTTTCAGGAGTAGGCCTAAGGTCCAAGATGTTTTCTCTATTTAAAAACAATACAGTAGGGAAAGAGGAGTTTACTGAGGTCAAATTGTATGTTTTCTTCCACAGCTGAATGTTAGGGCTCTTAAAAAATAATTGTTTGCATTGAATAAACTGATTAGCTGAAGTAACACGAAAGTGACACCCAACAGAGGATTCCACTCGATCTTAAAGCCTTTTTTGATGAGTTATTTTCACAATTTATGATGGCATAGCAGTCAAAATAAGACAAATGAACTCATGGATGGGACAAATTCTGGACCTTTGTCAGTCTTTTGAACCCCCCTGGCTATGGGCCTGTACAGTGTTGGTTTTCACATACTGTAGATACATTTCAGGTTCCCCAAAGATCCATTTTTTTATAGTGTGAAGAGCATTTATAATCCAAAGAACATTTTTGTACGAAAAAAAAAAGTTCTGTGATTAGTGTGAACCATTGATGCAAATAAAGAGTCTTTATTTTTTAAAGAGTTTTTTCCAATAAAAATGACCTAGCCTAAAATATATACATAATAACATTACAAAGATTTGAATAATGAAATGATGAATTTTGAGATGTGTGTGTGTGATGCAATATCCTGATTCAATTTATCATCCCCAAATCACTAAACCTCTAAATTAGAGTAATTCAGGAGATAATTAGTCCTGCATTAAGTCCTTTGAAGCCACCAATATAATCTGCTGTTATTGCTTTACATCAATTCACATTTGAATATTATGCAAATTCCCATCAGACTTCACGCACATCCTCAGGGCGAGTTGGAGAAGTAATTAAAATGAACGGATACATATAAACACACATTACGTATAATAAATTTAAACAATGATATTATCGAAAACACAATTCAGGATAATAGTCTGCATTGCTGCAGGCAACAGTGGTTTGTTAAGGTGTTTGTAAGCGAGTGAAGGAGAATGTGTGTGTGTGTGCGTGTGCATGTGTGTGCGTGTGGGCGTGCGTTCGTGTGTGTGCGTGTGTGTGTGCGCGTGTGTGTTTGAAAGAGAGATGCTTTTCTTGTGGTCTTGTACAGCACAAATGAAGGTTACTGACTGTGTGTCCGTTTGCAGGTTACAGTTTCTGTGGTCACATTGGCCTCTGTCTAGGTTTAAGTGTGTGTGTGAGTGTGTGTGTGTGTGTGTGTGGCAGACTTTGGCTCAGACTTATTCTGATATATTACCATTTGATCCTTCAGTTTCCTGCCATTGATCAAGCCCCACCTATTCAGCTGATGGGCCAGAGGAGAAACCCGATCACCTAACAAGAGAGAAGCAGAGGAGAGAGGAAGGAGAAAATGAGAGAACTGGTACTGTACCACAGCCTCTTTATTTCCCTTCGTACCTAAAACACATCCCACTCTGTGCAATGCATATCAGTTTTACTGTGTCTACATTCACACATACTTAATTCATCGTGCTAAACTTGTCTCTGTAAGCCACTGAAAGTGATTTGCATTCCAAAATGAGATTAACAACATCAAAGGGACTGTAAATGTACAATTTAGAAATTCAGTTGTTATTATTCAGTCCCTAATATCTAAGGCCGTACTCACACTATGTACAGTTGCCTTGAACTGGGCCAAAGCACGCTTGTCCCCCTCCTGTCTCCCCCGACCGCCTGCACTCACTACATTCGGGCCTGGGCATGATTACGTCATCGATGCTGCGCTGTTCAGTAAGCGCTCTTGCTCAGCATCAGCACAGGGGAAATTTCTTTAGTTTTATCGCTTGGGATGCGGTGAAACGCAGTCAAATATTTCACCGAACAGATCCGCCATTATTGGTGCTCATAAACAACCATAAAGTCCTCATGCTGCAGGAATAAGGAGATTGCTGAAGGTGCAGCTATCGTGCAGTGAGGGGTTTGCGTATTTAATAATCTATGATAGTTTGCCTTCACTGAACAGTAAGAATGATTAATAAATCCATATCAAACAGTCCCTTAAAAGTCACGTCTTGCTTTCAGTTTTGGCCTTTGGCATGTTTTGCACTCACACACAAGCGTACCGCGCCAAAGCCCAAGTGAACCGCGCTAAGGCCCACCTCTTTCAACCGGGCCAGGGCCGGCCAAGTGAACCGTGCCTAAGCCTGATTCAGCGCACTCACACTTCTCAAACGATCTGGGAAATGGGCCTGGGCACGCTTCGGATAGCATAGTGTGAGTACGCCCTAAGAGCCACAGATTTGCGATCTAAGCACAACATTCTTTCAAAGCAGTTTCAATGTCAACAAATAACAGTGAGTCAATAATACAATAATTTTTTTTTACAAACTATAGGATGATTGTCACTTATAATCTATAATAATAGTATTCAGTTACTTTCCTCATGGTTTAGGTTTCTTTAAGCCATAACTAACTTTGTTTAAGTAGAGCAAAAACACACCAATACAAACATAGAACATCGGATTCTTGCAGCTGCTGGAAATCCTTGAAAATGATTTAAATGGTTTCAAGGTTTGAGAAGTGCCTAGATTTTTGATAAAGTGCCACAAACTGACATGAAAATGTAATTGTATTGCTTTCATAATAGTTGGTCTTACTAAATAGGTAATAATATTAATAATAATAATAATGAACTGTTTTTTAAAGTGCACCTATTTTACCCCTTTTTTAAGATTTAAGATAAGTCTTTTGTCTCTTCATAATGTTTCTGTAAAGTTTTAGCTCAAAACACCCATCAGTTTATTTTTTATACTTCTCAGAGTGTCTCTCAGAGTATTAAGAATTTTCTGCTCTGAGTACAATGTTGCTGTTTTTGTTGCCTGTGCCTTTAATACTAGTTCTCCCTACCCACCATTCCCACATACCTGTCAGAGTGTGCCTCAATCTCCAGCTCTGTGTGTCAGATAAATAGCACAGTGACGGACATGATGAAAGCCGATCTCGTGTAACTTTGTGAGAAATACTACAGTAAGAACTTTCCCAATGATTATTTGATGTATTTGTTGTGGAGTTGGAAAGATGAGTCACATGCAGTGTCAATTACAAACTTTATGCACGCACGCATAGCATGTGTGTTTAACTTTGCACTGTTGCACGGCAAATGTGACAGGATACAGGTTAATATCCACTGCTGTAATGTAAAAAATAAACCTGATTTAACGTACACAAAGCGGTATTGAAGCGCCGTCTGTTATAATTGTCCTGACATGCAGCTGTGGTGATAAAGACTGTAAAATCGCGTTAATTCTTTACAAACATGCACTGTTTTAAAAACGTTTTAAACTTGTAAAACTCATTCTTGATCACATTTGATGATGATTGATGATCACAGAGAGCTGAACAGATATTTTAATCCTAGTCCAAACAGCTTACAAAAGATAATTTTCATTATAGGTGCCCTTTAAATTTTCTTTAATTTAAAATGAATATTTGCTTTTGCACAAAATTAAAACTCTGGAATCTAGTAGTGACTGTAGCGTGATTTGCCTGTCCTTTAACAGTGGTAAAAGACAAAATGCATGGATATTACAATTTCATGAGCCATCGTGAAAATAAATAGAATTTAAGATAAATAATTATGCATTTAAGATGTGAGAAAATTACATTTAAAAGGGTTAACGGCCTTAATCCAATGTTGAACTTGGAGTAAACATGCTATCAAAAAGCTTTCTTAGAATACTGTAAAATATAACATCTGATCTATGATGAAGTGTGTATGTATACGTGTGTAAATACGTAATTGGCACATTTTTAAACTGCCTGAAAATGTTGAAAATGTACCTGAAAAGTACTTAAATTTGACTTTGGGAAAGGTGTTAGAAGCCAGAGCACGCATCTGTGTTTCTCTGATTGCGTGTATAGAAGCCACCTGTGGAACAATGTCCCTTTATTAGTATTGAGCACCTCCAACAGTCACGTAACATTTACATAATTTAACTGATTAGGAGGTTACATTCGAAGGGTGACAATGCATCACTTTAAAGGCAGCCCTATACACTTGCTTACTTTGTGTATAGGGGACACTGACTCTGAGTGACACTATAGTGGCTATTCAAACAACTGCAGCCTGCAACTTGTTACTTGTGCAAATGTAACTGTTAAGAGGTTACACGCCTTTAAATGATCTATTAAATGTGACGTGCTGCATGACATAGTTTGCCGTCTCTGATTCTCTGATTACCTGAATCGTGTAAAATTGGAAGCTGAACTGTTTCTTTCAACATACTTTGTAATATTCATTCATGTTTTTACTCGTTTTTAATTTAGCAATACATTTTTGCACTCTGTGTCTTGCCTTTACTAACTGGATCTTAATTGATATGGAGATGTGATTAGATTGTTTTTTAGTTTTTCAGAATGTACTATGTCATGATTGGCTGCAACACTACAACTGGCACTCAACAATGACATTTTTGTAGGGAAAGTAAAGTGTAACATAATTATTTTCATCAAAATTCTCAAGAAAATACAGGACATCATTCATGTTAATGACAAAATAGACAGAAGAAAAAAAGATGGCTGCTGATGCTGTTATGGTAGCTTGATTATAGCAGTAGCATTGCTACATGTTGTGTCGCTTTTAGCTTAACTACATTTCTCAGTAGCGTCGCTACTTTCTTAATCAAATAGCTTTTTAGTAGCGAAGCTATTTTTTAAGTCAAGTAGCTTGGTAGCTACATTTACTGATCGCAGATCAATAAGTAACGGCACCAACATTCACAAAGCTGTGAGGCCGGCATCTAGCTGATGAAAATAAATCCATGATCAATCAATGATGGCGAGAATGACGATTTCTTCTACTACCTGTTTTACAGTGGTCGACATTAAACTTTTTGGTGCATTACTGCCACCTCTCCCACCGGTCGGTGACTTTGCCAACCAATTAGGCTAAGATGAGAAATTTGCTTGATGATATATTTTACAGTATTCTAAGAAAGCTTTTTGATAGCATGTTTACTCCAAGTTCAACATTGGATTAAGGCCGTTAACCCTTTTAAATGTAATTTTCTCACATCTTAAATGCATAATTATTTATCTTAAATTCTATTTATTTTCACGATGGCTCATAAAATTGTAATATCCATGCGTTTTGTCTTTTCCCACTTTTAAAAGGACAGGCAAATCACGCTACAGTCACTTCTAGATTCCAGAGTTTTAATTTTGTGCAAAAGCAAATATTCATTTTAAATTAAAGATAATTTAAAGGGCACCTATAATGAATAATAATAATATAATCATCTTTTGTAAGCTGTTTGAACAGAACTGTGTGTAGGTATAGTATGTCTACAGTCCAATTGGAGTGTTATAAACACAATAAGTCTATTTTTTACATTTTCTGAAGCTAAAATAGGAATTTAAATAATTCAATAACATTACAATTTCACAAAACGCTTTAAGGGCCCTATCATACACGCGGCGCAGTGTGGTGCAAGGCGCGGCGCAATAGTGTTTTGCTAGTTTCAGCTTGGCGCAAGAGTCGATTTGAGGTGTTGCGCTATGCTGTTTAAATAGCAAATGGATTAGCGCTCAGATGTGCGCCCATAGGCGTTCTGGTCTAAAAAGGAAGGCGTTCTGAGGCGTACTGCTGGCCCGTTGCTATTTTGAGAAACTATAATATATTTTTCATTAGACCAAAACAAACCCGGCCTAAACTCCAGCACAGAGTTGCGCCTCGCTTACACAATGCTTAATACGCACAAAAGAGCAATAGGCAAATATCTTCACATATATAAAAATTAAATATTAAGGATATATATAGGATATAATATGAATAGATATAGGATATAAATAAAAAGGATTAAAATATAATAAAACATATTACTTTCTAGCCTACATAAATATGAAAAACCACTGCTTTTATGTCTTCTTCATCTCGGGAGGCTTTTTCAGTTCATTCATAACAATTTGCTTTTGTATAATGTTATTATTATTAGCAGTATTATTTATTATATCCACATTTATATTTGTTTTATTAAAAACAAGCTTAGATTCCCCTGCCTGTCAGGTTTTAGACCATATGGGGCACAGCATGTGTTTTAGGATATAACTCAGGTTTTTGGGTACACTTCGCTAATATTGTTTACTTATTCGTTTGCTGGAAATTAGAACTGAATTTAGAAATTGTTTTGAAACAAATATTTGCGCTTAACAAACACAATTAATTATTTATATATTAATTGATGTCTGTGCATAAAGGTTTCCCTATCCACGAGAGCATAAGTGAAAGTAGATCGATTACCTCTCATTCTCACGCAGTAGATGCTCTGTTTAACAGTTTTCTGTTAAAAAAAACTGTTAACTGTTTGCTAGTGAAA